GGCATGATCGCCCACGCCAGTCGGCAAGGCAACTGATGATGATGATGATGTAAAGCTAGTGTATTTACCCTACCTTTATTCTCTAAAATGTCTTTGGTTCTCTAAGGCCCCGCAGTAGCGATTCTAGCACACAATTCTATTCCCTCACGTTTGCGCAGGTTGCAGTTAACAAATGTCTGTAGTTTATTAGTAATTATGCGTGTCCCCCATAGATCCTCGCGTAGGTTCCGGTGTTAAATTTTGAAGAACAAAGAAAAGACCCACTATCTCCCAAAGAAGCATGACGTAAGAGACTAACTGGGGATTTTCTTCGAAGTCATAGTTCATCTGCCTGAAAGGCAAGGAACCCAAGGTCTGCATATAAATAAGCCAAATCTCAAAAAAGGATGTGTACGCAACACTGGGCATCTAGATCAACCAAGTTTAAAAAAGAAAAACATAGGCTGAGACAAATATCCTGGAAACAAAATGACTGGAGGAGTGAAGTTGACCACATCATTTACCTCGGGCAGACTGGGTCTCCAGAAATATGGGTCTATCATCGTATGCTAGGGAATCGCCGTGGCGTAGCGGCTAGACGCCTGCGTGCTGGTCGGAAGGTCGTGAGTTCGCTCTCTGGCGGAGCAGGACTTTTTTTTTTTTTTTTTTTAACGACCTTGACTCCAAGGTCAACCCAGCCTTAGTGGGTACCAGGTACAGTCACAGGAAGTCCAGGTACAGTCCCAGGTACAGTCCCAGGTACAGTCCCAGGTACAGTCCTAGGTACAGTCCCAGGTACAGTCCCAGGTACAGTCCCAGGTACAGTCCCGAAAAGTCCAGGTACAGTCACAGGAAGTCCAGGTACAGTCCCAGGTACAGTTCCAGGTACAGCATCAGGGTTGGCGCGATGCTGACCTTATCACCCATCTTGTGCCGATTTGTCTATAAAAATATAGGTCTATATCTATATGTCTAAAGGCGTGGAAAAGGGACCTTTACTCTTTTTTTTTTCAATCATATGCTAAATGCACCACTAGCATGCGAAAGAATCTTTACTGTTTTTTTTGTTTGTTTCAAACCATATGGCCGACATGCCAGGGCCAGCAAAAGGTCCTTGTCTCATCTTCAATCCACAGATCCTTTACAGAACGTCAGTCTTGTTACAGCGCGACTGAAAGTCTCTCTACCTCTGGCCAGTTCTGCAGCCCGTGTGCTTTCACAGCCAACGCAATGTCCTTGTCTACTCACATTATTAGATATTTCAAAGTAAAAGTAAGAAAAGGGGGGGGGGGGGGCTGCGTGGTCTCGAGGCATGGTGTCCGCCTCGAGTTGGAAATCGAAAAGAGTAGCCTAACGGCGCTGCCAAGCCACAGAGTTGAAAATCTATTTAAAGTATTTCAGGATCCTCGCTGGTGCTACAGAGCCTGTGCACTGTGTTGACCTTTTTCGGACCAGACTTGAGTTAGAAGAAAGAACGCAGCCCTTATGGGTTACTACCCGTATGCCAGAAGAAAGAACCGAGCACTTATGGGTTACTACCCGTATGCCATGATGTTGATTGATATGTTGTTCAAACCTCAAACTTCAAGTAAAAGTAAGTAAAGAACCATGTTCCACTCCTTCAGACGTGTAATGACATATAGGGCTAGACCTATATTTTATAGACCAATCGCTACTCCCTGGGTCAACATCATGTCGGTCGCTTTTACCTCCAAGAATAGTACCTGGTATTGTGATGGGTCGACCAGGCAGATTACATATCCAACTGCTATTAATAGGAAAGCTGGTACAGTTGTTTTCCCACGCTCCACGGTTGTAACCGTATATCTAAGTCTCGACCATTTTAAACCGGTCGAAAGTGTAATCCTTGACCACTGGTCAACTCATAATATTTGAGCTAGCGAACATGTGAACAGTGGACAATACAAACGGCACTCAGTGGCCGACCAACGGGTCACACGGTGTAATCAGCTCTCATGGCAACTAGGCAAAAGTTGAGAATTGCCTTGACACATCCAGGGCGCTAATGGAGAAATACGTTAACTGGATTAGACACGGATGTTGACAAGGGGGAGAAATTTATAACAAAACACCGCGACGTCAAATGGTTATTCCCTGGAACGTAACAAGCTTGGAACAATGATTTAGGCTGACACAAGAAAACTTCATAGTTCCTTGGTTATTACCTTTTGCAAAAACATTTCACGTGTATGTTTGTTTGTTTATGTACAAATGTTTATGTCCACATTCTACATTCTTCATTTTCACCAGATGTAAACATTGAGGGAAAGTTCGTCCATTTCTGTACTTTGGTCTTGTTTCATAAGTTAAATATTATGTGCACATCCATTTTACAATTCTGGCTTTTTTTTTTTTTTTTAATGCTCCATTGCCTTTCAGGCAGATGAACTTCGACTTCGGAGGAAACACCCTTAATTAGTTGCTTTCACAATATGCAGATTGGGGGGGGGGGGGGTGTCTATTCTTTTATTTTAGCTCTAAAACTTGGCCCTGAAATGCACACGGAAAAAATGTTGACTTAACAAGAGGGAGAGGGGTAGCCTAGCGGCTAGACTATTGCCTACTAGTCCCAAGTTCTAAGGATCAAATTCACTTTTTCAGAATTGACCTTAGCTTCTTCATCGACCCAGCCTCAAATGGGTACCAGGTATTGTCCTGGGAATTGAAGGCAGCTCATATCAACCATCGAGTGCAGATCGGTCTATAAAATCATAGTTCCAGCCCCATATGCACGGTTCTCGCCTAGGACGTGAAAAGGGTAATTTACTTTACTTTAACAAAATTAAAATAAAACAACAACAACAAACTAGTTGCATATCCTTTTCATAAGGGTTATTCAACTGACGCGGATCATTACCAGCTGGGTGCTGTTCAAGAAAGTCTTCCCATCTCGTTCGCCTGCGACATTTTGTGGCAGTTATGACGGGCTGTCCTAATTTCAACTGGTGTTGGTTTTGAACGATTTAAGTACATCCACCACCGTTGTAAGAGACCAACAGCAAGCGTAAAAATACAAAAACCTAATTAATTAACGAACCATAGCGCCTTCGGCACTTCTTCCAGTGGTAATTTTTCCTTGCACACAGGCGCCTTCCATTCGTTCACAGAAAAGAGTTGCAAAAAGAAAGCTTGCGCACTTTCTGTCGACTGCGTTGAAAAAACACGAGTTAGTTTTCGGCACGGTGTGTGTAGATGGCCAAGGAAGGCTTCTCATAACACCCCTAGAACATAGAACAGCACGTGGGAACCGCCACGAAATCTCGCAGCCGAACGAGATGGGGTCACATTCGGCAGTTGTGCCGTAAGTTGTTGTCTACAAAAGGAAGTCAATAAGTCAGTCACAAATGATTATGGGATTGCAAGAAATGTATTTGGTCGTTTTTAAAGGTGTCATGAGGGGACAGCAACATTGAACTTTATGTCTTCGTTCGTTAGGTGACGATAGGTGTTGTGTGCGCATTCGCAACACATAAACAAAATAGTGATTGTACTTACGGATTATACCCTAAAAGAACAGCGTACTGTTTCGCGTTTTTTTTTTTTTTAAATTGTTGTTGTTGTTGCGGCTGGTGGGAGTGAGGGGGAGGGACAAAAGGGCTGCCTTGAAAGGACATTCATAAGAAAATGCTTTCTGTCTATCCTGACTGCCCTCCCCCCCCCCCCCCTCTTTTTTTTTTTTTAGCGCTGCATAGCTGGGTAAAGCATTTTTCTTAAGGACGCTCTTCGATTGTTGTTGATGTCTGATCTGGTCATCCTGTTGAGATTGCAACAGACGTATCCCTGCAGCGTGTGGGGGAAATAATTAGCGATGACAGACGAATAACAGTTGATTCTTTAACAGCTGCAATATGATGCTCACGTGGTTTTTGGTCCACTGAAAATCCACTTTTGCGAGAGACATTTCTACCCAACTATTTGTGTCTCACTTATTGACTTACCCAGTATTAATGATTTTTAAACGCCGAATCTCAGGCCTCTGGCCAGTGATTATCTGAAATTTCAACATTTTAGCCGCCCAAGTAAACTCAGTTGAACAACATGCGTTACATGATATTGCAAAACCAACTCCAGCATTTCTTGGCTGTTTTTGGTTTTATTGGGCAATTTTTCGGTTAGTAGTTTGTGGTTGTTTACCGAAGGGTCGGCTTTTGATACCTGTCTCGAAATTAACGCTGAGCGTTCTGCTGCCTAATCGCCCGCAGCTAAAATTACGTAGCGCGTTTATATTGCCTAAGCCACAGCAGCTGTGATATATACACACTGAGAACAGTTATATTTTTTTAAACCCGCCCCAATGTCCAACGCAATTTTTATTAGTTTAAATCCCCACAGCGGCTATAGTCGGGAGCCCTGATATAACTTAACGGTTGAGTGGGGTTTCTGGGACTTGTAATCTTGGTAATCTTGGTAATTTTGGTAATCTTAGTTTCAGCTTCATAGCAAACGGGTCACCTCATAGTTGCTCCGCTCCTGTGCTAACGAAAAACACACAGAATGTTCGTCACTGTCAGTTGTGGAGAGATTGACAGACTGCTGTCTCAGCATATGCTCTAGCATTCACACGCATTAAAAGCATACGGTAGCTATCAGAAGTGCTAACACAGTTTGACATTAGAAATGCGGTTTATCATCGACGGTAGCAGAAGTTACCAACAGATCAGCAGTTGCACACGCGATCAATATTTATCACATAAGGACACCACCAATACTGCAGCGACAGGCAACACGCCATTTTCTGAATCAAAAACTCACAACACCGCGTTGGTCACAGTAAAAAAACATTCAAAATGAAATCCGCAGCTCACAGGGTCGCACCATGCACTGAACACAGTAGCTGACGCGACGAAACTATATCCTTTCAGTCTTCTGGGACTTCTACCCGGGTGATTCTCATCTTCGTGTCACCGGGTGTTTATCGGTCGTTGTGCGGTCGTGGGTGGTTAAACGTCACTCACAGTTTTATTTCTGATGTCTGATTTTGTTTTCTAATTTCTTCACAGGCGAATGTTCCCTCCATTTAAAGTCAGAATTAGAGGACTGGACAAAAGGTCCAAATACATTCTACTTCTGGACATTGTCTCAGTGGACGACTGCAGGTAAGACCTACTTTTGAACTACAGCGAAACCTCATTACTCAAATGTGTTATCGGGACCCTTAAGGCAAACAGAGAACAGTCACACTGCTCCCTTTCAGGTATGTCGTAAGAGGCGACTAAGAGAGGGTTTCGTCTTGCTGTTGGCAACTTCATCATGTAAAAACAATAGATTAAACTAACCATGGATAGTCGAAAATAGAAAAACTCAACCAACCAACAAGGAAGGCTTTTTTAAAAGCAGAAAGATTTCTTGGTGCAGAGAAAACCGAAAGAGTTCCGATCGTTGACGAACTTCCTTTTACCTATGAAATCTCCAGAACTGGCACCAGAAATGATAGAGCTTTGTACAATGTGGACCCAAAAAAAAAAAAAAAGGCACATTTAACAGGTGGCTAGAGTCGAGTTAAAAAGATGAAGATGAAATGGGGAAATTTGCAAGATATACTGAAGGATAAAAAGATTTGGTCTGAGCTGTTTGAAGGCCTATGCAGATAGAATGCAGAAGAAGAAGAAGAGGAAGAAGAAGAAGAAGAAGAAGAAGAAGAAGAAGAAGAAGAAGAAGAAGAAGAAGAAGAAGAAGAAGAAGAAGAAGAAGAAGAAGAAGAAGAAGAAGAAGAAGAAAAGAAAAAAAAAGAAGAAGAAGAAGAAGAAGAAGAAGAAGAAGAAGAAGAAGAAGAAGAAGAAGAAGAAGAAGAAGAAGAAGAAGAAGAAGAAGAAGAAGAAGAAGAAGAAGAAGAAGAAGAAGAAGAAGAAGAAGAAGAAGAAGAAGAAGAAGAAGAAGAAGAAAGAAGAAGAAGAAGAAGAAGAAGAAGAAGAAGAAAGAAAGAAGAAGAAGAAGAAGAAGAAGAAGAAGAAGAAGAAGAAGAAGAAGAAGAAGAAGAAGAAGAAGAAGAAGAAGAAGAAGAAGAAGAAAAGAAGAAAAAGAAAGAAAGAAAGAAAGAAAGAAAGAAGAAAGAAGAAGAAGAAGAAGAAGAAGAAGAAGAAGAAGAAGAAGAAGAAGAAGAAGAAGAAGAAGAAGAAGAAGAAGAAGAAGAAGAAGAAACGTACTAACCGTAGTTTAACATCTGTTGGCACCTTTCCGTCGTTCCAGACTATAATGTTATATTGTGTGCTATATGGAAATATAGGAGTCACAGCTGAGGGCGACTGACTTTACTTGTGTTTTGAGTGAATTTTTCCCTTAATACATTTAACATAATATGATGTTTTAAAAAATCAGAACTGTATGTCAAAGTAGGTAGTTTCTTTATATGGTTTTTGCATAAAGCTTATGTCATTAACGCTTTGAATGTCCTCTTTAACAGGTACAAATTCCACAACGGGAAATGGATGCCGGCGGGAAAATCAGACCCTGAGATGCCACGAAGAATGTACATACACCCCGACTCTCCTTGCACAGGCGAGCAGTGGGCGCAGAAGTCCATTAGTTTCCATAAGCTTAAATTAACCAACAACGTGTCAGACAAACATGGCTTTGTAAGTGCTAACTTCATTGTGTGTGTGTGTGTGTGTGTGTGTCTTATACGTATGTGTGTATGTGTGTGATACCAACGGAGAAAAACTGGCTCATAGACAACATCCTGTCCCACAAAGCAGAGGTATCTTGGCCATGTTGAAGGTCTCAATGAGAGAGCCTAGACTTCTAACCGCTTGATCAGTCGCTCTGCCTACATTTTTTTTTAAAAGTAGCCAAGCACGAAATATAAGTGAATTGATAAAATTGAAGGACAGTAGAACAATAAAAGCATAATACAGAAACAGATTCGACGAGGAGATTTACGTTGTTGTACATGTATATTTCTCAAAATAACGGCGAATGCGTTGGAACCTAGTAAAAAAGGGTCGGAGAGAGGGGGGGGGGGGGGGGGGCTAAAGTACATTGAGGCCGCCCTGCCTCTAAGTTTTTTAGATTATTTTTAATTGTGGTGATGCCCCTGCGCCTAATATCTGTAATTTCTTCACAAAAGAAGAAACTATGTGTAGACGTTCTTTTTCGAAGTATTTTATTAATACTCTAATATCATTTCAAATATATTACAATATTTGTTTACTATTCAGCACATTTGAACAATATAACTATAATAATAATCTATATTATTATTATTATTATTTTAATAATTATTACGGTTATTATTATTATTATTGCTCACTTAACGAAAGCTTAAACAACGCGAAGGTTTCCTTTCCGAAAAAATATTACGCAGTTGCCGAGCGTAGCCACCCCGCAACGATTTCATTGTGACAGCACGTGAACAGCGGAGAAGGTTCCCTAATAAATGCGATAGAAGATATGAAGTTTAGGTTTAGACGACGGATCAACACCATGGCACAAGGAAACTCATAAGTGCCCCGTTCTACTTCTGACGCAAGCCCAAGTAAGAAGAAAATCAGCATAGTGCATGAACTCCGTAGCACCGGCGAGGATCCTGAAATACTTTCGGTAGATTTGGTCTGGCCAGCGCTGTTGGCTACTTTTTTTCGATTTCAAACTGCCAGAAGATTATTTTTATGTGCGCAACAATACACACGGGCGTCTGATCTTACTACCCAGAGACCAGGGGAAATTACTAGAATTTCGCGTACAAAATCCTAGCCTTCACCGGGGCTTGAACCTGGGACCACGCAGCACCCCCCCCCCCCCCCCCCCAAAAAAAAAATCTGGAGATGCCGGGGATCAAACCCAGGACCTTTCACGTACAAAGCGAACGCTCTACTACTGAGCTACATCCCCAGTTACATATGGATGCTTACATTACATGAAGAACGGAAAGGCACCTAGAGCTGACAAAATGACTGGGTGGGTAACAAAGGATAAAGCGATTAGGGTTCTATATAGTAAAAAAGTCGTGAAGGAATAGTAGTTAATCAAACGATGCGTGGTGCCCCAGGTTCACCCATGAGATTTTCTTGTCTGAGACATTTCATGACAGGCATCATTTGACATACATCTTGACAATAGAACTAAAATTGAAACGTGCCAGAGCAAGCATCGGTCCCTGGCGGTTTGCTGCAAACAGAATCACTCTGGCTGAAGTTCCTCTTAAATCATCTGCCAATCTGGTTAAGGACCGACCAGGGACGGTGTTATATGAAGCGCCTAAGGGTGGTCAGAAGTATTTTTAGCGTGAGAATTAGTAGCAACCCACCGGCTGTGAACATTAGAGGACTGCTGCTTCTGTTGCCTTTTCTTCTTCTTCTTCTTCTTCTTCTTCTTCTTCTTCTTCTTCTTCTTCTTCTTCTTCTTCTTCTTCTTCTTCTTCTTCTTCTTCTTCTTCTTCTTCTTCTTCTTCTTCTTCTTCTTCTTCTTCTTCTTCTTCTTCTTCTTCTTCTTCTTCATCATCATCATCATCATCATCATCTTCTTCTTCTTCTTCTTCTTCTTCATCATCATCATCATCATCATCTTCTTCTTCTTCTTCTTCTTCTTCTTCTTCTTCTTCTTCTTCTTCTTCTTCTTCTTCTTCTTCTTCTTCTTCTTCTTCTTCTTCTTCTTCTTCTTCTTCTTCTTCTTCTTCTTCTTCTTCTTCTTCTTCTTCTTCTTCTTCTTCTTCTTCTTCTTCTTCTTCTTCTGCTTCTTCTTCTTCAATACTACTGGACTGTAGCGCCAGCTGCCGGAGCATCCCTTACAAGACTTGTGTTTAGTCAATATCACACTTGCTGCTTTGACTCCCCACATTTCCTGATGCCTGTTTTACGCTCGATCCATCTGCAAGCCCTGCTTATATACATATAATTTTTTAATTTATTTATTCTTGAAATCCTGGATGCATTACGTAGAAAGATAAATAGCTTCGCCCTCTAAACCACCCAACTACATACTTAAAACCCAAGCGTTTCCACTATCTAATCCTCGTCCTCTGAAGTTGGTATCTGTGAACACGGCAGAGTCAACGAGAGGATTAGAGTTTAAGTGTCTTGCTATGTGGAGGATTAGACAAAATGGAAGACTTTTGTTTGCCCTTGTGTTCTTGTCGTTTAGTAAGTAAACTTATCGGTATACTTTTTATATCTTCGTTCGTTATCCATTTAACAAGTTGCATTGTCTCAACCAGTACAAAGAAATACACCATGAGTGTGTCCTTCCTTCTTAAATATGTTTTTCTTAACTCCTGGTATCTTGTCCAGCTTCAATTCGAACCAGGCGCGTCGACACAAGAAAAACATCATTTTGTTGTGTTTATTAGTATCATGTTCTTAAACTAGGATTAAGCCCCTTGACACTGTTCGACTCATCCCCGCCACCCCGCCCCCCCCCTTTTTTTTTTCTCTGACCACCTGACCTCCACCCTGCCCCAATATATTTTCTGAGCAACAAAAGGGTAGGGCTCAAAATGTCTAATCCTAGTTCACCAGCATAATAATAAAAATACAGTGCTGAATGTAATAATAATAGATTTGCAATCAAATAAAAAATATAAACACGTACTTTAAAAGATAATTTAAATAGGGTCAACAATAGAAACATTCACCTGCACAGGCATAGTGCTGCATAAGCTATGCGTCCTGAAATCTTCGGTCTCGTGGTCTCCTACTTGAACCTCACTCTAAAGGAGGTTTTAGATACTGGCTGTTACAAAAGTTTTCATTTTTTTTTTCAAGTGAACGAAGCCTGTTATATCGAGGCTTTTTCTGTTGTATGGCAGTGAATCTTTGAATGTGAGCAAACAGATGAGGAAGAGTTTGGAGGCTACTGAGATGTGGTTCTTGAGAAGAATGTTGAGAATACCTTGGACTGCCAGAATAACCAACACTGAATGTCTGTCTAGTAATGGTTAATAAAAGTAGATCATCATATACAACAATGAGAAGGAAATAAACAAATTTCTTTGGTCATCTGACGAGAAAACGAGCACTGGAAAATATCCTGACGTCTGGAAAGATTCCTGGTAGAAGAGGCAGAGGCAGGTGAGAAATTATGGTGGATGGTTTAACACAGTGGCATGGAGGAATATCATTAGAGGAATTGATCCAGAATACCAAAGACCGAGATCTGTGGAGATACACCGACGACTACGCCAGCTGGCACGGCACATGGTGATGATGATGATGATGATGAAAGGAAGCCCCGTAGCGTAGTGGCTAGGTTTTCCTCTGACAGCCCGAAGCTTTTTCGTTTGAATCCACACAGGGCTAATTTGGGGAAAATAAAAATTAAATAACATTGGCTTCAAGATCGACCCACAATGAATGGGCACGACCAAATAACATGGGTAGTGAATGCGGCTGGGGGGTCCTGATTACATCTTCCACAGATGGTCGACTGTGGTCCATAAACATTATCTTTAGCAAATATGCAAGAGACAAAGATTCATAAATTAGCACAATATCAGGATCCTCTTGTTGGCAGTGGTGAAAGGTCGCAAGCTAAATTGGTTCGGGTACATGGTGAGACATGATTCAACTGCAAAGCCTTTATACACTTCAACGAACATTAAAGGGGGTGGGGGTGGGAGGGTGAGAAGAGGGTAGTGTGGTAGTCGAAGAAGAAGGGACGAACCTGTAATGACAATATCAAGACATTGGACAGGACGAAGTTATTATACACTTGTTCATCAGGCGCAAGACAGAGAAAGATGGCGGGTTTTGCGTGTTAGTGCTTTGATCGATGCACCTCCACGACCCCACAGGTCAAGGGTTATATTAGATGTCGAGCATCAAATAAACAATGTCATATTGGCCTGTGAATGGTCTTTTACTTCACTTGTATTTATCTAACATAGTTTGATGGTGATTTATTTTTAATTCTCCCCAAACACAGGAAATCCTGGAGTTCCCAGAAAAGTCATATATTCTAGGTTTGTTGTGAGTTGGGGTTGGCTACGCTTAGGATTTTGGTCAACCTCGACCTCCCAGAGACACCGACTAACCCTAACTGTAACCCTTACCTTACTCCCCAATCCATAACACCCTAAGAATATATGGACTTTCAGGGGAACTCTAGCAATTTCTTTATTTGGGTAAATTAAAATTAAAATACCAGGTAAAGTAGCATACATTCTATGCACGTGTTTTCAGGCGATCTTAAACTCCATGCACAAATACCAGCCACGCCTCCATCTTGTGAGAGCAGACGATATTCTTCTGATTCCGGTTAGTCCTTTCAGGACCTTTGTTTTCAAGGAGACCACATTCATCGCTGTCACAGCCTACCAGAATGATAAGGTCAGTATACAATCTTTCATGTAAATGTTGACTCACACGCACCTGAGAAAGTCAGATAAAGGCATGTTCTGTATGGAGTGGGCAGCATGGGTTCTGAGGCTCCCTGTGGTTGCCATCCTTTGTATCTTTCGCTGGGAATCATGTGTGATGGGAAACGAAGAATCAGATAGATTGACTGGTTGCATCACAGCTTGTTGGTGAATTAGGGCATGGCAAGCTAGATCAGAACATGGCTTTCAGGAAGCCAGATAATAATGAGGAACCGTGAGTAGATCATTACCAGTCAGTTAGTAAGTAGCCTGTCCTTTGCAGAATCCATGCTCCCATAACAACCTTCCTGCAGGCAAGATGTTCCGCGTCCAATACACCCATCTAGAGATCATCCGCCAAATCATGCCCCCATCTTCTTGTTAACCTTCCTCTTCCTCTCTTCCCAGGCATATACCTCTCCATTATTGTTCTCTCTAAATTTATGTGACATTTCAGTTTTCTGTGTTTTATCGTCTTCAATAGCCAACAATTACCGCCTGCAGATAGGGTTGAGAGGGCCAAGATTGTCTCAATAAGATGGAGAAGGTCTTGGGACGACCTTGGTATCTGACCTACTCTCGACACTCAGGCGGACATATCTCTTTCTCCTAACGTTTCATCATCATCAGCAGTGCCCTGGCAACTGGCGTAGGCACTAATGCGTCTCCACAGACCACGATCTCTGGTTGCCTGGAACAGCTCGCTTGATTAAATCTATCCATGCCAACGTTTCAGCCCATCCAGCATCATCTCTCTTGGTCTGCCTCTACCCCCTTTTCCTACTGATCCTTCCAGTTGCCACGATGTTCGCCAATGTCTCTCTTCTCATTATGCGGCCAAAGATCAGTTTTCGTCTCTTTCTTATTGTTGTATATAGAGATCTACCTTCATTAGCCTCTTTCAAACAATCTTTGTTAGTTACTCTGGCCGTCCAAGGTATTCGTAACATTCCTCTCAGAAACCACATCTCTGTTGCTTCCAAATTCTTCCTAATGTCTTCACTGACATTCCAAGAAGTGCTTCCATACAGCAGAACAGGTTCTATTTAACATTTTAGCACCCTCTTTCTGACATTAAATGAGAGCGATTTATTGCATAAGATATTTTTCATTTTCTGAAATGCTGCTTTCGCTTGAACTATTCTGCTTTTAATCTACGTCACAAATTTTCCATTTGATGATATAATTGTTCGCAGATATTTGAATTTATTGACTAACGTTTACCAGCTGTAAACTCCCCCGGAAAGTTCTAATATTCATTTACTTCTAGGTTTTTTGCCCCTTTTCCCCAAATTTGTCCTTTGCGTGAACATCCGTTTTACAGATCTGTGGACATATAATCAAAGGACTACTGGCATTCTCGGTATTGGAATTCTTCGCTGGCTGCTGAAAGTTGGAACGGAGTGCTTATGGGAATCTTCTGAGTGCCGTGATGTCGGTTCCTAGCTGACCTCTCAACTCTATAAGACTCTGCTGGCCTTCTTTCTGTCTGCCCTTTATCCCCAAAGGAAGCATGTGCTAGCAACCAGCTCAAGTCAAGCCATCCTATCTTTTGCAACTGCATATGGATCATTTTAATTCTCTTTATATTTTTTCACAAAACTTTCTGATTCCTTTCTACTGGTGTTTTCAGTCGCCTTGATACCGTTGACCCTGAATGTTCTAGTGTTGGGTCGAGCTGAGTATCAAGGTCAATCAGTCCGTCAGGAATTTGAACCTAGGAATTTCGGGGCGGAAGGCAAGCCTCCACAGCTTCCCACTCATTCCTTTGATGACACCCATTCACGCAATAATTCATTTACTTATTTTTAATCCTTTCATTCATTCATTCTTTCATTATATTCACCACATCTTCACATTCTACGACACTATCATATCCAAATGTAGCCACTTCACTAATTTTCAGATTGTCGTGTTTCTTCGACAGATCACCCAGCTCAAGATTGATCATAATCCGTTTGCTAAAGGCTTCCGTGAGACTGGAGGAGGTCGCCGAGAAAAGAAGTGAGTAAACTACTACTGCTGCTACTACTACTACCACCAACACCACAACCATCACCACCACAACCATCACCACCACAACTATAACCACCACCAAAACCACCACTACTAGTATAAATACTGCTACTACTATTACTACTACTTCTACCACATATAGTTCTTTCTCTTCTACTGTATTCGCCCTTACAGTGGCGGTTAGGACAATGTTGTGCGGTTTACAGCTAGGTTGCGAAAGTTGCGCCTATTACCCAACAAATCACAACAATCCAAATTAGTCACCTTTTATTAAATGCTTGTGGATCTGATAATGGATGTCTGTATCCATTTTCATTCTGTGGATAATTCGTGCAATAGTAACAATAGAAACGGTGCTGGGAAGACAAGCGGGTGTTGTCCAAGAGAGAATATGTTGGAAAGTTTGGCATAATGCCATGGGGAAAAAAAGCAACTGTCAGAAATGATTGACGTTGTACTTCATCTTCGGCTTTACTGACTGTTAACTCCGACGTAAAGATTTGGTTTTTCGTCCACCTCTGGACTCTAGTCCTATACTAGAACCTCTTTTGTTGTTGTAAGATATGTCTCATTATACATGTAGACTGCTGGTTCCTTGACTCTCAGGCAGATGCACTCCGACCTCGAAGGAGACTGTCAATTAGTTGATTCTTACGACATGTTTTTGGGTAGGTATATTCTTTTTCCACCCCCGTCCCCTTTAACCACAACGGGAACATCGGAAACCATTTAGAAATAACATTGGCTCCCAGGTCGACCTGACCTTAAATGGTTACCATGTAAAGTCCTGGGAAGTAAAGGTAGCCGGCACGATGTTGACCACATCACCCACTGAGTGTCGGTTTGTCTGGAAAGTATAGGTCAAGCCCTATATGCCCAGTATGCTTGAAGGCGGGGAAAGGGGTCCTGTGCTTATTTTTCGAGAAACATCATTATTATCCTCAGGTATCACTTCAATTTTCAAGCAATGTGGAAAGGTATAGTTGACATGGGAAGAATTTTTGACCTAGGGACGGATTGGTGAACTGGGAACGAATTGTCGACATAGGGAGGGATTGTTGATGTGGGGAAGGATTGTTGATGTGGTAAGGAATTGTTGACATAGGGTGGGATTGTTGATGTGGGAAGGAATTGTTGACATAGGGTGGGATTGTTGATGTGGGAAGGAATTGTTGACATAGGGAGGGATTGTTGATGTGGGAAGGAATTGTTGACATAGGGTGGGATTGTTGATGTTGTTGACATAGGGAGGGATTGTTGATGTGGGAAGGAATGTTGACATAGGGTGGGATTGTTGATGGGGAGGAATTGTTTGGGACCTGTGGGAAGGAATTGTTGACATAGGGAGGGATTGTTGATGTGGGAAGGAATTGTTGACATAGGGTGGGATTGTTGATGTGGGAAGGAATTGTTGACATAGGGAGGGATGTTGATGTGGGAAGGAATTGTTGACATAGGAAGGATTGATGATGTGGGAAGGAATTGTTGACATAGGGTGGGATTGTTGATGTGGGAGGAATTTGTTGACATAGGGAGGGATTGTTGATGTGGGAAGGAATTGTTGACATAGGTGTGGATTGTTGATGTGGGAAGGAATTGTTGACATAGGGTGGGATTGTTGATGTGGGAAGGAATTGTTGACATAGGGAGGGATTGGTGATGTGGGAAGGAATTGTTGACATAGGGTGGGATTGTTGATGTGGGAAGGAATTGTTGACTGATGTGGGAAGGAATTGTTGACATAGGGAGGGATTGTTGATGTGGGAAGGAATTGTTGACATAGAGTGGGATTGTTGATGTGGGAAGGAATTGTTGACATAGGGAGGGATTGTTGATGTGGGAAGGAATTGTTGACATAGGGTGAGATTGTTGATGTGGGAAGGAATTGTTGACATAGGGTGGGATTGTTGATGTGGGAAGGAATTGTTGACATAGGGAGGGATTGTTGATGTGGGAAGGAATTGTTGACATAGGGTGGGATTGTTGATGGGGGAAGGAATTGTTGACATAGGGAGGGATTGTTGATTTGGGAAGGAATTGTTGACAAGGGGAGGGATTGTTGATGTGGGAAGGAATTGTTGACCTGGGGACGGATTGTTTACCTGGTGAGGAATTCATGACCTGGAAGGGATTGTTGATGTGGAGAGAAAAGGTTGATGGCCCAGTGCTAAATGCGTGGTTTCCAGCGTTTGTTATTCCCTGTATATTTGTAATATCTTTTAGTTCATCAACCAATTTGCTTCTCATGCGCCATCTTGCTTCCCTTTCGTGTATTAACGATGTAGTTACTGGCTGAAAGAGAGAGAGAGAGAGAGAGAGAGAGAGAGAGAGAGAGAGAGAGAGAGTGAGAGAGAGAGAGAGAGAGAGAGAGAGAGAGAGAGAGAGAGAGAGAGAGAGAGAGAGAGAGAGAGAGAGAAAGTTTAAAAACTTACAATAGAGGTTATGGAGGTTCAGTATAGCCACCGTCTGCTGCTCTGGTTCGCTCCCTAGCGAAGCAGGACTTTAAAAAAAAAAAGACTTTGACTCCCAGCTCGACCCAGCTTAATTGGGTACCAAGCGCAGTCGCGGGAAGTAAAGGCGGCCGTCGTGATGCTGACCACATCACCCATCTTGTGCCGATTGGTCTATAAAAAATATAGGTCTAGCCTTATATGCCCTATACACCTAAAAGGCGTGGAAAACGGACCTTTACTTTCTTTTTCTTTTTTCTGCTGCTCAGAAAACATCCAAGCGGTAGCCGAACTCATCCCACACACGAAGAAGCATCCCACACACAAAGAACTCATCCCACACACGAAGAAGCATCCCACACACAAAGAACTCATCCCACACACGAAGAAGCATCCCACACACAAAGAACTCATCCCACACACGAAGAAGCATCCCACACACAAAGAACTCATCCCACACACGAAGAAGCATCTTTTCCGTTACTGAGTTTACAGCAGCTGGACTACGGTTCTGAGGGTCAGCCAGACAAGGCTCTCTTGCGTAGTTGGTTAAACTTGACTTTCGCGGCGGTCATGTGACGAACTCCTTGTGGTCCGGGTTCACTCCCGGGGGTAGGCAGAAAAGCCACATTTCTTCCAGATTAACGGTACCTATAATGGAATCAAGGCCGAAGGGTTGCGATATCCATAGTACCGAGCCAAAGGGTTTACAACTCATGGTTTCTGGATACTATAAAAAAAAAAGGTTAGCCAGAGCTTTTGATGATACGTACAAGGCTTCTTTCACATACCCCCACAGGAAAACGTCATATGGTGTGAGATCAGAAAATCTCGGGTACCAGGACAGAAAGGCCAGCTCTTCATTTCCTATGCGACCTATCAATTCGTGAGAAACAGCTTCATTCAGAAATCCTCGAAAGTGTATCTATCATTTTGAAGAACCCTGTATATTGCAGTCTTGTTTGTGTCCGCATCATTAAATTCACTTCGGGAAAACATTGTTGTGAATACATTCATATATTTTTGTTAGGCGAACCGTCGAGCATGCATACTATACTGGGGACAAATCAGTTCCACGGATCTCTTTCAAGAAGCGACTGCGGGAAAGTCCTGAATGTCTGAACGAGGCCAACCCTGTAGAGAGCAGAGTGAGTTTTGGACGATGTGACAGCACAGATGAGCACAACTTGTGTCATCAAGGTAACATATGAAACATATTAACATGTATACTGTCTGTGATTTTTAGTTTATATAAAAAGTAAATAAAGTAAAGTAAATGACCCTTTTCCATGTCTTTTAGACGTATTTGGCATAAGGGGCTAGAACTATATGTTATAGATCAATCGGAACTCGGTGGGTGATGTGGTTAGTTTCACACCAGTCGCCTTTACTTCCCAGGAATTTACCTGGTACGCATTTAAGGCTGGGTAAACCTGGGAGCGAATGACGGTCTATACGATTCTAAAGTTTAAATTTCAGAGAATCGACCTCATTCACAGGGTGTATTCCTATCCTTTATGACCAAGTCCTTCACTGTAGAACTGACTGAGTCTGGTAGGAGCGTCTTGTTAGTACGAACACCATGCCATCAATGACGAAACAGTGATATACAAAAATACAATTTACTCGTGGACCGAACGCGGCCTTCCGTTTAACAGACAGACAGACAGACAGACAGACAGACAGACAGACAGACAGACAGACAGACAGACAGACAGACAGACAGACAGACAGACAGACAGACAGACAGACAGACAGACAGACAGACAGACAGACAGACAGACAGACAGACAGACAGACAGACAGACAGACAGACAGACAGACAGACAGACAGACAGACAGACAGACAGACAGACAGACAGACAGGTAGGTAGGTAGGTAGGTAGGTAGGTAGGTAGGTAGGTAGGTAGGTAGGTAGGTAGGTAGGTAGGTAGGTAGGTAGGTAGGTAGGTAGGTAGGTAGGTAGGTAGGTAGGTAGGTAGGTAGGTAGGTAGGTAGGTAGGTAGGTAGGTAGGTAGGTAGGTAGGTGGACGGACAGACTGACCGATGAAGCGATGGATGGATGAATGGATGGATGAATGGATGGATAGATGGATTGTTAGAAAGAGCGCGAGAGGCTACGTTCCTTTTGTTTTTAAATATTTTTGAGATTTCCAAACCTACAGAAATCTACAGCCACCAGGACAGTGTGTCTATGTCTTTGTGTATTTCTCTTTAAATTAAAATCGTGGCTTTGAATCACCACGGTGAACTCGTTTTTCAGCTCAAAAAGAATTTGTATTCGGGGCACCCGTAAACGGCTATCCCCGCCAGGTGTAGCCTGCAGTCTTGTGTGGGTGAGGATAGTAGGGGGGGGGGGGGGTGTATTAAAATAATATGTTGGTTCTTTCTGTCTGTCTTCTGTCTGTGTCTTCTGTCTGTCTGTATATATATATATATATATATATATATATATATTATATATATATATATATATATATATATATATATATATATATATATATATATATATATATATATCA